TGACCAGGCAGGAACCTACGACACTCGCCACCACCCGTCGGCAGGTTTTGGAAGTCTGCGTTGGAACGGCAATCCCAGCATTGCCTCGCTGAACGCAATGCTGCTCCCGAACAGCCTGGTGTTCATGTGGGTGAAGCTACGTACTTCTACGACTGCAGAGGCGCGAGGAACTTCAGCAAGGCTGACGTTCACACCAGCAGACTTGTAACACGCGGTAACACAGCCCATCAGCTAACATCTCTTCAGTGGATACAAACAGTTTTATTAAGGTTCCAAACATGGAATTAAATAGCATGGGTTCGCCGGACGCATCTAGCACTGTTGATGTTCTATGATTATGCACATGAAAACACTTCTCACACGTATATGCTAGACAACAGTCTTTGGTACAGTATTCACTGCTGCTTACAGTTTTTCTATAGGCTTATCCTCTCACCCAGATTATCACCCATGATTAACAGAAACATCACCATAATTTTTTTTTTTTTTTGTAATGAAGAAGCTGAGCTACCAGAACACCAGTTGTGTTTTCTCAAATCAATTGGATTTAATTAACTTTTTTTTTTTTCTGTAAGCCACAATATAAATAAGAGTATGTTATTCTGGATTACTACAACAGTAGTTGCTGCCTTTAAATGTACATAATCTCTGGGCAAGACAGGAAGGCCAATTCCTCTCAAAACCAGAATTATTGGGTTGCAGAATCTGTAAACATTATCTCATGCTCCTCTTTTGTGATCTTGTCTACAGCTTAGTCAACAGCTTTGGGATCTTTAGTGCCCTTGACATAGATGCTAAAAGGAGCAAAACTTTGAAGTAATTGATTTTTAAATATTAACTTTTTTTAATCAGATATTTATTAATTCTTAAATCTGGTAGACAAGTCAGAATTTTAAACCAGAAAATATAAGACCAGAAAAAAAAAAAACCAAACCCCACCACAACCAAGATGCAAGTTTATAAAGTGCCTATTTATAGCTTTGATTGTTCCAAATATCTTTATATTATTGAGACATCTAGGGATGGGGAAGCAATAAAGAGTAATAGGAGGAAATACAAAGCAGGAGACACAGAGGTGTCAAGATTTCATCAGAAATGACAAGAAAAATGTTGTTGATTACAGTGGGGTCACTGGGGGTGGGGGAAGACAGACTGGTTCTTCAGTTTAACAGCATTGAGCACTTATGCTACCACGCTACGCTCTAGAAGTAACAGCTCAGCCTGGGAGGTTAATACTAATGTGGCTTTGTCTCCTGCAGAACATTTATCCTGAGAACTGAAAAACCCATAAAACATCCCAGAAGTCAGGAGTGCACAGAAAGCTGAGCAGAGCTGGCTGTTCTCATTCCTGAGGTCCATTCGATGCCCCCCCAGGATAAAAAAAGGCTTCCTTTATTCTAATACACTGCTTCAGTGGTCCAGCCAAGGCTCACTGCGCTCTCTCAGTGAAAATCCAAGAGATTGTTTGGATGAAGGTTGTAACAATAACTGTGCCCTATTCATCTGTACAAAAAAGGGAGGATTTCTTTTAGAAAGATGGCAGTTCCAAGATAATTTTCTGGAAACGAACAGGCCTCCACTGAGGTATGAACACTTTCTTTTTTTTTTTAAAATAAAAAACCCCCACCAGCCACAGACAGCATTATTTGTTTTACAGAAACAAGGAACCTTCTGTTCCTTGACCTCTCATTAAGAAAGTGGTCTCTGACCACAGTAGCATATTCTTTAAACAAATCACGTTCCATTTTTGGAATAAGACCATATTCTAATAATAGTCCCAATTATCACTTACAAAGCACGATTAATGCCCTACCCATGTTGCCAGGTAGTAATGGCGATTTTTGGTTTTTAAATAGGAACAACCAAATACATGCAAATTGCAATCGACAGGCTCACTGAATAAATTCTAATGATGAGATACACAAACCATGTAATTCCTAAGTGGAATTAACAATTTATAATAAAGAAAATGACAGATCTTTAGCCCTAAAAAGTTCACAAAACTGAAGTTAAAAATAAAGCAATTTAATGCAGCAAAAAAGTTTTCTTCCTCCAGAGGTGAGTGGTAACGAAAGAGAGGCACCATTTCTGACGGATGTATGGAACCGAAGGTGTTAGCAGCACTGTTTTCTGCGTTTGCCCATATTCTGCACCCCAATCTTTAATTTTTAAATCAATGTCTTCTGAGCTTTTTCTCCTCTATCACCCAGGCAACACAGTGGGCACAAGCGAGTTCTCAGTCTGCTACTGCCCTGCTCATTTTTCAAAGAAGGTGGGAATGTCCCCTCCTACAAAGTGCCCCGTGGCTACAGACAGCACGCTCTGAGGGAACAGGTCACCCCGCCGCCCAACAGAAGTTAGCACAGATAATAAAGGCCTATTCATATAATTTCCTCACAGTTCCTCTGCAGCAACAAAGATGGGACGGTTTCATTAACAGAAATACGCAGTTGTTACCTTTTAAACAGCAGGCGTGCTACTTGGCATTCTGATTCAGATTTTCCACAAGCGTATGAGGAAAAATGGGCCTGTGCTGCTTCAACCTTTGCATTTAAAGAGATGCAGTGAATCTCAAGACGGGCCAATATGGATCTTTTCAGCGCCGCCTGCACGCTCAGCTGAGGCATGTACATCGCTCCCACACAGCCCTACGCTTTGGAAGATTCAGAGGGAAGACAACACAGAAATCACGATCTCCCTGAGGTCATCTAATTCTGCTCACAGACCAATGTACCGCGTATATAAACGATGATTATGGGCACAAATGGTTAAGAAAGTAACACTTCAGCGGAAGCCTAAAGGAATAATGAAGTGATTTTAACATCTAAAATGGCTTTAAATAGCTCACCTTCACTTTAGAATTAAAATGCTGGCAAAGCCTTTGTGAAGTAGATTTTATAAATTCTAACAGTTCAACAAAAGGGACTTTGTCATTAATGCTTAGTAGATACAAATAAATTATTCATTAGTAGAACTCACATTTGGGTTTTATTATACTCCGTAAAATATACAGTAATCTTGAAGTACTGAAAGAGTGCAGGTAAATACAGTATTCAAGCAGTCACTATTTCTATGTACATGCTCATTAATTCTTCAAAAAACCCACAAAATTATCAAATAGATCAAAATATTGTCCCGTGTTTCCACACGATGTTCAGAAAACCAGCTGATAATTTACAATAATATCATAAAGATTTCCAGTTTCACAATACAAAAAGGATAAAAAGGAAATTGGAATCAGTTTGTAGTAATTTATTTGTACTTTACCAGGACATGCAAGGATTCCTTGCATGTACATAAACAAATTCACTTGAAAAGTAACAGTTATAGTTAAAGCAGAGCCAAATAAAGTAAATATTCATATTTAACAGACGAAACTTCAGCTTACTTAATGTCAGTTTTTCATTCTTCAGGCAATTAAAAAAACCACAGTAGTCTGTTATAAATCAAAAAAAAATAATCTTCGGGCAAGTCTGAACTACATTACAGGGACCTGTTTCTGCTGTTTATTTTCTAAATGGAGCACAACAAAGATACACAGCTCTTCCCACAGACCAGACACTGTACTTTTTTTTCCTAATAGGGAAATATACTTTTAAATTCACCTCCCCCCCACCCTTGTAACTCCAGGGTTAAAAAAAAAAGTGATAGGGATATACAATTTTAATCTTACATACAAATTTATGCTGTAAGGAAGTGGACAGATTATTGAAAAGAACTCTCAGTCACAACAGGGTTATCAAGACATTTCAATTTTTTATGCAGTTTCATAATTTCCAAGTTACTCGTGTATTTTTAAATTAAAAAAAATCTCAATCCAAAACCCAAAAGTTAAAAAATCTAAAACTGTGCAACAATTACTGCTTCCCTCCCACATCTCCCACCCCTTCCCTTGTTTATTACACTGTACATTTTTCACCCTGACTTCACCTTGTTAGCTGGTTTAATTTTAGTATTATAAAAGTATGACAAGTTCATTTTCATTTCTCCTAAAAGAAAAAGAAAACAAAACTTAAAAGTACATCTGCTTTCTTTCATGGTACATTTAATAGTGTCGGAAGGCTTTCAGATGATAAAAAAAAAAAAAAAAACAAACCAAAAACATTTAAAACCAAATCTAAGCTTCTTTTCCAGAAGTAATTAAGGTTTGGTTAAAACAAATTCTCAAATAACCTATTCCAGTTTTCACAAAAAGGTATTTAATTAAAAAAATCTTTAAGTTATTTGGTCCTTTGGCAATTTGCAGCATAAACAATGCCTACTGTACCAAACTCATTTATTGCCTTCAAAATGGTTTTAGTTTTATTGATAATATTTAAATCTAGCATCCTTTGTGTTGTTCATTTACATCAAGTAGGGTGCCCAGTCTGCAGAAACTACTCCCGGCACCAGAAACAGAATGGTAGAATACAGTTAAATAAAACAGTTTTGACATTCTTTTTTTTTTTTTTTTTTTGCCATGGATTCCAAGTACTTATTCAAGAATTTATGCTTCTTCTGCAAAATATGCTCTTAAAAATCCTCCTAGAGTCTCACAGATTTTTTTTTTTTTGTTATATGCAACCACAATAAAAAACATCTTCTCAAGGGCCTGTCCTCTTTTTGCATTCAAACACTGATAGCTTTTTTCCAAAAGCACAAGTCTGACCTTCCAGCATGAGGGTTCACTCTTCAGACCTACAAAACGTAGCTTCTAATAGGTCTCAGAATCCGAGTCATTGAGTTCATCTTCTTCTGTATACGGGTAGCCATCTTCCCTGCCAATGTTGTTGAAAGTACAGTAAGAGCTGTGGTCACTCCTCATGATTGGCAAGGAATCGAAGGTGACAGTTTTTGAGGTGTTGGTGTAATGATTAATGGCATTGAACGTAAGGGAAGGTAACGTGCTGCTCGATGAAACAGGCATCATGGTGGCCAGAATGAGAGCCAGGCAATCAGCCACATCCTTGTTGGGCGCACAGGCCAAAGCTGGTGTGTAACCTAGAAAGTCAAGAAAAAAACAAAACATTCATTTAAAATAAAGACAACATAAAAATTTCTCCAAGATCACATCAGCTTTCAGCTGCAAAAGTATTTTATATTGCTTAGTTCTGCACTGTTAAAAAAAAAAAAGAACATAAAATTAATGCATTATCAATTAGTATTTTTTAACTTTCAGTTACAAAAACAACCCAGAAGTTACTGGGCTTTGGAACAGATGTAGTTGTTTTGTTAAGCACAGTCGGACACCCTAGGCCAGCAAGAAAAGCCAGGATTTGAAAATGGTGAGGAAGTCACCTGGCTGAGACAACTAATGGCAGCCAACAGTGACGGGTGAAGGCTTTCACTAGAGAGGCACTACAGAAAGTACAGGTCAACGTGTTAAATATTTCTTCATCCAGGAGCTTCCACACAACTGTTCATCACAGACAGTCACTTTACTAAGACTGTTTGGTCTCAATAATAAGCTGGCTAAAGCATCGGGTCCAGTTAATTGAAAAGGCAGAGCATACAATTTCAAGGAGCCTATTCTTTATTACAATATAGAGTAATATAAACTATACAGCCCATGTCTACCTTCTATTTGAGGGATATAAAGTAAGAAATCCACATAAGTTTGAGGAAATGCCTGTTGGATTAGTAGGCTAGGACTTGCAGAGAGAAACTACACCTCTTGGTTGCCCAACTGGTCCGGCCAAACTCCTTCTGCCAGGCAACACTACTGTGAGAACCCCAAATGCAGGAGGTCTCGGGCTGTGGAGCGATTTCCAGTCAGGTCACGTAGCTGTGAAATCTCTTTTGGGTAACTGTGGCTCTAATAGTCCTCCAACATTTCTCCTTTTGCAGCTTCCCCCTTCCCTGGGAAGTACTTGCTTCTGCTCATTACGTACCAAGAAAAATGCTTCAAGTTCTCCTCAGTGGAGATCTGGACACTGCTCCTGCCTCAGGCTTTAGGCCTAATCATTCAGCAAGGCACCTGAGCATAAACTTTGGCAGAGGTCTCAGGTTATACGCCCAGCACCGAGGCAACTGGTGTAACCAGTGGTGATGACAGCAGCTCTAGAAGCATGGCGGTCACACAAGTACAACCACAGGCAACAGCTAATTCTGCTGCCAGGACCGAAGTAAGTTCCCTCTGCCTGGCTCCACGCAGAAGCAGGTGGGGAGGTCACCCTGTAGCACCCCTGCAGTATCTCTCCCCACGTGCAACAGATACGGCCACAGGGAGCTGAACAGGAAGACTCATGTTCAGGTTCATTTGGGAGTCTGAAATCCTGCACTACCCCCAGTCCACAACTTAAAGGCGTATGACATCCAGGTAAAAAGCACACAAGTAATTTTAAATAATAAAAGAAATCCTTGTATAAAGCAAACTGTGTGATGGACTTCTATCCAGAGCTTATGGAAGGCATGGGAAATGCGGCAACGCCCGTTCTACCAGCAAATGTTTCAACTCGTAAGGAATCACCTTTATTGCAGAAGTATGTCCAGGTCAAGTGATAGGATAGAGCTCAGAAGTAGTTACCGTGTTGTACAATTGGAGGGAAGTTTTAAACAATTAGGCACATTATGGAAAATAGTTGTAGCTGAAAATTAAGCAAACAGCAAGCAGGGGACAGACAATCCTGCAGTTAACTATTATTTGCTCAGGACAGACCTTGTGCTTGATGATTGGTACAGAGTCAGACAACAGTCCCTGCCCAAAGCAGCATCCAATCCAAGGAAACACACAGGTAATTCCAGCACAAAAGGCACCAGCTGACCCTGCGATAGGGCCGTACAGAAGTGCAGTGCGGCAGATGTTTTCATTGTTAGTAAGGTGCCACAGGACTGAAACAGCTCAGAGTTAACAGTGACAGTCTGCAGAAGAGAGGCGTTTTGAGAGGATTCGGAAGCAAGGGCCAGAGCTTGCTATGCTCGGACGAAGCCTGCATTTCAGGCACATCAGGCAGAACAGAAGGCTCAGCATTGGTAGTCAAACGCGCACAGTTTAGTATCTGCAGTTGCTGGAGATTGTATGAAGGCAAGATGACACACAAAGTAAGTTTCTGCAAGCTGGTCATACTCAACGCTGTTTCTTTCATTAACATGATTTGATAAAAGCTCAAGTAGAAGAATGAGCAGTCACCAAGCTACCTTTGAGCATCCCAGTTCATCATAAAAACCAAGGCCAACAGAAAGATTGAACAGATTACTTGCTTCATTTAAAAGTTCTCTAAAGACAGTACTTATGCTAATATTTGATTGTAAACCGTAAGCTTCTGGCTTTCATAACTAGGAATGAAACATCACAAGTTTTATTCTTGCCTTAGACATAGCAAAATGAAGTAACTGCTTGACCATGAAAGACCGACATCTGTGTCCTCCACCACTTTATTTTCACCTATATTATTTAAAAATTATACAAACAAGTTCTACTTCTATGTCCCTTAAAACAACTGCAAATTCATCATTGATATGTTAGGGCAACAATAGGTATAAATACTTTAAATGTTCTCTTAATAAGATGTTGGTAAAGGTACCAACTCCACTGAAATACTCGTATATGCAGTTCTCACATGATGTTCCCCATAATCTGTATTGTATTTGCGCAAGCTTTATCACCGTCTTCATTTATAGACTGGGCAGAATGAAGGCGAAGCAGAGTGAGGTGAAGCAGCTTCCTTGCACAGCGGAAAACAGAACTTAAGTGGTGGACACGGACTTAAGACCAGGGCTTCCCCCACCCAAACGCTGAGCTGCTCCCTCCCCTGGGGCTTGAAAGTTTCTATGAAGGTACCTACAGGAAAACCAGAGAGTTACTAATGCGGTCAGTGCAAAGACAGTTCTCAAGGTAAACTGAATGAAGCCTTACACTTGAGAAAGGGTAGGGAGTCATCTGAGGCATGAATCCTCTTGGAAGCATTTACAACAAAAATTCCTTCCAGAAAACTGGAGGTCTCCAATATAAACTAGAATACGAATAAAGAAAGGCTTGGAAAAGAACTAGACACACAAAAAAACCCCAAACCAAACCAAAACTATCGCCTGCCCCCCCTTTTATTTTTTTAAAAGTTTGAAAGGCATCCAATGATCACTGCAACGATGAATATAGAAAATAAGTGAAACCTCCATGCTATGTCAGTCTCCGGAGTTAGAGGATGCCTCCTCCTCTCACTACTTTGGTGCACATTAATACAACAAAGACAAGACAGACCCTACATGATGGAATTTAGCTAGTCTAGGTAGTTAAATAGTAGGGGGGAAACCCAAAAAAAAAAAACAAAACCGTGAGAAGTTGGTTGAGTGACCAAACATAAAACTTCAGCTGGTGTCAAATGAAAGAAAAAGCTAGTAATTTCTTTTAAGACAGGTAAACTTGCATAAATAATGTAAAATTCAACAGAAATTTTGTAGATGCGGGTGATGGCAAAATTTCATCAAGACAGGTATGGAAACATGGGAGAGTGAGAACTGTTACAGAACTGAGAATGAACCCTCAACATGGCTACTTTTGGGAAGTATACCTGACAGTAAATTTGCTGTTTCAGTTGCATTTAATCTTTTGAGAACCAAGAAGATTACATTTTTTCCAAATACATTTGTTCTTAAAAACCTCCAAAAGTGATCTCACCAGATTAAGAGATGGTCTATAACAAAAGCAGTATGACTTCAAATCTAAAGTTTTAAATAGCTTATAAATTATTTATAAACTGAAATGCAGAGAATTGGAGTGATGTTAGGTTTTTTCCAAAGCTTATGTTTTTCAATAATTTTCTGTAGCCCAGATATAGCAGCAGAGGACTACTAAGTAGTTTTATACATCTACAGATACAAATAGAGAGTGCTTGTAAAAAAGGTCAATGCAGCCTTTATAGAAAGCGACAACTTCAGAGACAGAAAGGGGATGATCAGCACTCCATACCAGCTGAGGTTCTGCTGATTACACGTTCCATACATCAAGACACTTCTTCATGTAAAACACTACCTAAAACTTTACCTCCAATTTCATCTATTTCTATCTGAAATGCCAAGCTTACATAGCAGATCACTGAAATTATCTGAGCTATGCTAAAGTAAGAGAATGTCAGTGTTGTGATGCAAAATATTCGTGTGCCTATTTCTTCAGCCTGCTTTGCTAGACAGATAGCTTCCACCCCCCAAAATGCATAAATCATACTCTTTTAAAGCCTTCCTAATAACAAAAATAAAATAATAATAAAAAAAATAATCAAAGTTTCTCCTGTTTTTTTTCTTTATTAGAATTAAATAAATGTAATTATTTTTTCTTTAGAAACACTTATAGTCTAGCAGTAGATGCTAAATTCTAAGACAAGTAGACCTAAAGCAGAACCTGGCTATCACTACTGCCAGCTTTTCCAGTTAATACAGAAAGGTACACTATGGAGATCAAGTAAACTTTTGCAACAAGATTAGCAAGCCTGCTGACATACTAAGAATGAAGAAAAAAATAGTGACAGGTGAAATAGATTGATAAATCCCAGAAAAATTTCCCTTGCTTTCTTACAAATCAAAGTATTCATCACTTTGCACATACTGTACTTTAAGCTGGCACATTCATCCAACAGAAAAAGAATTCATTATGAATATTCGCAAGGCTGTTTAAGATTTTATAAGCAAGGCAATAGCTATTAGAAAGAAAAGTTAAGAACCACAGTGAAGAACTAGATTAGGTAGCCCTCAGAGTTACTTTAAAGTTTAAAATATGAGCAGAATTAAAAAGAAGTTGAACATGTTGCAATTAGATCCCCAGGCTGCCAGAGAACTGCGACTTCTATACCAACAACTCTCTTCTCTGTTTTGTCAAAGATCCACCCTGACAAGGGACTGGCTGGCTGCACATGAAAAGCCCACAAAAATACAAACACCATCTCCAGTTAGCATACTTGTGATGAGAAACAAAAATCAAAAAGGTATGTTTTCCCATCTTTTCATTCTAGGGAGTTTCATTTAGCAGTTACCACTGTACCCTATTTTAGGCACCCTTTAAGCAGTGTAATTTGAGAAACACAGAGAAAGTCATAGTAAACGTTAAGAGAGGAAAAACTTTCCAAACTGGAAATATAATTAGAACTGTTAATTAGGCACATCCCTTCGGCGGGGGGGGGGCGGAATCCAAACCAAAAAACCCAACCCCTCCCACCCCAAACCCCAGCTACTGCTTTGCTTTAAGATACATTGGGGCATGGCATAACAGCAGGAGCTCTTACGCTTTTAAAAGCACAACTCTGGAGGACCAGAGATGTCTTACATGAAAATATGCAGTAGATTTGATTTTCTTTTGTTCTTACAAGGTGTAGGATTTATTCCCTGTGATAAAGCAGTTACTATTTCTTACTTCTATGTGCCAAAAACTTTAAAGAGCCAGAAGCTTGAGACCAGTGACTGAGATCTGTAATTCATACTTGCTTTTAAACACTAACACCAACATACTTACCGTGACAACATGGATGGCGATTCAATCCAGCTTCTGAACAGCTGAAAGTTGTATTTTAATTTGAGCATTACATTTTTTTTGACTGTCTCCAGTACGTCAGAGCTAGTGTATGCATTATAAAACTACAAATGCAAACCAAGTATTTCCATGCCGTGACCCACATCGTTTTGAAAGTTTTCACTCCCCTTACACTTCCGCTGCTTTGCTAAAATGATCCATTGCCAAAATAACACATTTTTTTCTATGGGGAGACCTAGTGCAATGCTCCTATGAAATTCCCAAAGGGTTACTGCTTTTCAGTAAGCTGAATTTAAAACCACGGTTCCTTATGGGGAAAAAAAGTTAAATTTATTCTTACCATTTTCATCTACAGCAAGTACACTTGCTCCCTTCCCTAAAAGCTCTTGAACTACAACTGTTAGTCCATTCCGAGCAGCAACATGCAGAGGCCTGTGAAGACAAGCAAACTGGTATATAAACCTTAGAACAAGACATACGGTAAGACAGGTAGCTTGCATCTAGTTAAATGGTTCCTGAAGTATTTATACTGGCATGTTACTTACACATTATATAAATATTGTAGATATAATAACTAAGATGGGAAAATCAGGAAATCTCTTTTCTTATTGCAAAGAAACTGTACAATAACAATTGTGCACTTACTTTCTTTCTTTTTATGGCACCACACAGTGAGAAAGTAGCTTCTAGAAGAGACCTGCCTGCTTATGACTTTATCACTTTAAAAATTTAGAAACATCTGGTACCTCACTGTTGATAAATCCTTCACTCAATATTTTAACAGGTATCACCACATCTGAGAGTTACTCCATGCCACTGGCAATAACCATTAGAATAGTAACAGCAGAATGGTAGTCATTTTATTGCATGTAAATGCTTATGAAGGATGCAGAAGCATTTCATCAGTCTGTCTTTTAGAAACCACTATATTCCACTGTGACTAGAAATGAAAAAAATTATTTTACAGTATAATGCATGAAGCAGGAAAACCAGATTACTTTTCAAAACCTCAAACTATTAACCATAACCCTGTTTTGTGGTGACTTGATCTATCAAGGAAAGTCTAGCTTCACCTCAAATATTCTAATGATATCTTTTTCAAAAGCAAGTTTTTCAAAATTGATTCCCACTGGCTTAAATAAAACCCTACCACCACTCAGCAGGATA